AAAAATATGAAAAACACCACAAACATTAAAAACATAAAAATATGAAAAACACCACAAACATTAAAAACATAAAAAATATGAAAAACACCACAAACAATAAAAATATTAAAAATATGAAAAACACCACAAACATTAAAAACCTCACACACATTAAAACATTACAAACATCAAAAACATTAAAAACATTAAAACATTACAAACATCAAAAACATTACAAACATCAAAAACATTAAAAACATCAAAACATTACAAACATAAAAACAATAACATCAAAACTTAATAACAAATTGTAAAACTAAACAATTGTTTTTAGTTTTGTCAGATGTTTAAGTTTTATTGTGAAAGGAGTTTTAAACTAAATTAAGTTTTTGATGTAAAATCACGAAAACAATTTAATCTGATTGTTGAAACAAAAGCACTTTGATCTATCCAGACCTGAGGTCCAGATCTAAGTCCAGACCTGACGTACAAACCTCAAGATCAGACTGAGGTCTAGACCAAGTTCCAAACCTGAAATCGAGACCTGAGGTCCAGATGTGAAGTCCAGACTTCAGGTCTAGACCTAAAGTCCAGAGTGAGGTGCAGAATGAGGTTCATACCTGAAGTCCAGACCTAAGGTCCAGACCAGAGAGAGGACCGTCTGTGGACAGACGTGTCTTGATGAGGTCATGACCTCCAGTCGACCTCTGACCCCATGTGTTCTGAGCTCTGTGGACCTCAACGACTTTCTGTCAGAACTTTTTCAGGTCCTTCACCTTCATCTTCATCAGCTCGGGGCACAGAGTGCTGGATTAAAAGTTTTGCACAGTTTAACTGAAACTTTTTAATTTAAATTTCAAAGATTCGTTTGATTCTTTTAATCTGGGGTTAAATTATGAATTAATGTGTAACGGCGTGACAGTCAACCCTGAAACGACCAATAAACAATTTATTAATTTATAAAAACTGATCCGAAACTTTACTGAAACGTTTAGACCCAGTCCAGTTTTCATAAACACCTTTTACAACATCAACAATCGGTGTAAACAAACAAACAAACTGACCAAACGTGCTGGGTCAGAACCAGAAGGTCCAGACGGGCGGCGCCGCAGAGTCCAACTCCGTTTATTTACCTTTCTACTTTGTTTACAAACCAAGTCAGAAACAAACAAATATTTAATGTTTTATTATCTGAAAACAAGAAAAAACATTTAGTTTTATTCAAAGAAACTTTGTTATTTCAAGGTTCATCATAACACACTTCATTTTTGTTTTTAATTTCTCAGGTAAACAAAAACAAACAAACAAACAAACATGGCCATCAGCACAGCTCAGAAACACCAAATCAATTTTTAACATTTTATTTATTTATTACAAAAATCAGACGAGTCTGTAAATTATTTATTTATCCAGCTGTTGTTTTTGGTTCGATCAGGTTGTTTATTTTTAAATAAATTCTCTGAACGACTCGTTTGTTTACAAAAAGCTGCAAATAATCAAAGAAGTAAACATCGATTCACTTTATTCTTAGACAAAAGATGCTGAAGGTTTTTACAGACGCTGATCTGAGAACAGCCGGAAAAATAAACTCCCGTTGGAAAAAAGCGTCAACGTTTATTTGTTTACTTCAGTTTTTACAACAAAGTGCAGAAATCCAGAAAATTCCCCCAAAAAAATTAAACTAAAGATTTTAATGAATGAAATTTCAACAGAAAAATTAAATTCTTACTGATTATTTTTTTATAAACGTCCCCAGAGTTCATTAAATAAAACTTTATGAAAAACTAAAAGAATCTTTGAAAAGGAACTCTGAAGAATTTAAGGATAATTTCTCTGAAAAACAACAAAAAACAACAATAAAAAAATAAATTTCCAAAGAAAAATTAACCTCAAGGCGACCACGATGATCCTCGTCTAGTCCTAGAACTGAGACCTGAAGCTTCCTGCTGAGCCTCCTCTTCACCCAGAAGATCAACACCCACAACAAACAAACAAACAAACAAACAGACAAACAAACAAACAAACAAACAAACCACTGCCAGAGTCCCACAAACAGAAACAAACTGCAGCAAAGATTCACATTTATTTTAACTTAATATGGTTTTTGTCTCCGAGAGGGAACAAATAAAAAAAATCAGACGTCAGGACGACCCAGGACCCAGCAGGGTCCAGGTCCCGTTCCTCGGGTCTGGTTTTTAGATGCTTCAACAAATCCTGGTTTCAGAACAATTATCAGATCTGGTGCCATTCAGGATCTCTGGTCCTGGTTCTGGTCCTGGTTTTAGCATCAGACAGACCTGGATCCGTGAGCTTTAAAACATCATTGTTCCAATGGAGACAAACACCCCCCCCAAACAAACAAACAAACAAACAAACAAACTACAATTTACTCCCAACGTGAAAGAAAAGCAGCAAATAAATAAGTTGCAGAAGAATAAATAAGAAAAGACCCCGTTCAGGACTCCCCCTTCAACGAGACCCCAGATGAGGCTGGAGTACGGCAAACTTTAATGTCTAATATTTCATCAGAACGTGCTCCAGTCAACGAGCATGTTCTTCAGTCAGCCGGCCCGGCCCGGCCCGGCCCAGTATGGCTTCTGTACAGATGGAGCAAAAGGCACGAACAGAACGTTGTGGCCCTGCAGACGCTGCAGGAACAATCATCAGTGATGAAGCGCGGCGCTTCCTTCATTCAGTTAGTGAAAAGTTATAAGGCAGAGCAGAAACGGAGGAGGCGCCGCAGCTCCTTCATCCTTCTCCTGTTTCCAGGAATTAGTCTGTAGCGACAGCAGCAGGAGGAGCCGCTCTGAGGAGGAGCAGGGGTTAGAGTTCAGGAGGGAGGAGGAGGAGCAGAGAGGAAGAGGAGCAGCGCAGTTATTGGTTAGTTAGAGCAGACAGGAAGCAGAATCAGAATCACTTCACCAGCACTGACTTTGGCAGGAACGCCT